GTAACCATGGCAATGAGACGATATATGATAGAATGAATGTAAAACTAATGTTCTCCCATGTAAACTATCACATAATTTACAATAAAACATTTAAGGAAAAAAAAAAAAAAAAGAGTTGTTGGGAAAAAAAACCCTAACACCATGAAAGATGAGAAGCGAAATGAACCCCAAACAAGATAGATCCCAAAAGAAAATCACCAAGGCATACTATAATCAAACTTCACAAAATCAAAGACAAGGAAAGAATCCTGAGAGCAGCTTGGGAAAAATGAAAACTTACCTATAAAGGAGACAATAAAGACTAAGCTAAGTGCTTAAAGCTTACAAGAACAGCCTTTTCCAACAGTGTCTCTGCCAGCTCAGCAAAACCAGGAATCAGTACTACAATTACCCCAAACAGATTTCCTTTAGTGGCATCAACTCCAAAATGACAATTACTAAGATGAAAGCAATTAGTGATATGCAGTTAAAATAATGTTGATGAAGGGTTTAAAATATATATTGCCAGTGGATTTTCTATATTTAATGAAATAATTATATCGAGGAGACTGCATACTTACAGTGAGGTTCTTAACAATTCCTTCAGAGTCGACTGTTGCAAAACAAAAAAAAAAAAATAGATCACATTACAATTGATACAAATATGTGAGCAACTCAAATGAATTTGACAGATGCATTTATTAATGACTTTGATCTAGTACTGTAGGATAAACACTGCTAATCACAAGGTCAGCAGTTCAAGCCTCTTCTGCTCCGAGATTATACAGGATGGTTTTGAGTCAGAACCAACTCAATGGCATTTAACAAAGAACAAAAACAACAATCATGATATAGTAATTCTCACAAGTGGCCCAAAAGAATTTTATTTATTTATTTATTTAAAAAGCAACATGATTAACAGAGAAATTATGGAAGTTACCAAGGATTTGGTTTTCCTTGGATTCACAATCAACACTCATGGAAGCAGTGGCCAAGAAATCAAGTGAAATTACAATGGTCAAATCTGCTGCAAAAGACCTCTTTAAAGTGTTAAAGAGAAAAGATGTCACTGTGAGAAGTAAGGTGCCATTGACCTAACCCATGGTATTTCGAATCGCTTCACATGTCTGTGAATGTAGGACAGTGAATAAGGAAGGTTATAGAAGCACTGATGCATTTGGATTATGGTGTTGGCAAGAATACTGAATATACTATGGACTGTCAGAAGAACAAACATGTCTGTGTTGGGGAAAATATTGTCAGAATGACCCTTAGAAGAGGGGATAGCAAGACTATGTCTTGTGTACTTTGTACTATGTTATCAGAGGGATCAGTCCATGGAGAAAGACTTCATGTGTCTTAAAGGAGAGGGTAGGCAAGAAAGAGGAAGACCCTCAGTGAGATGGATAGACACCATGGCTGCCAATGGGCTCAAACTCAGGGATGGTTATGAAGAAGGAACAGAACCCAGCAATGCTTCATTCGCTTGTACGTTGATTTGCTATGAGTCAAAACTGACTTGATGGCACCTAACAACAACAACATGCTTTAGGAAAATCAGATAAAAGATTTGATTTTGTAGACAAAAATTTTTGATTGTAAACAAAAATGGTTTGGGATTTAAGAATGGCAGAGAAAACATTTAGTCTAACAATATTGGATCTTAGGATAGGCTTTATAGATTACACCTAAGTATGGGAACTGTCATATGGTCTTTCTAAGAGGTCACATGGGAGACCTTAAAGCACCTTACATCCTCATAGAATCAGGGTGATATTGTTATTCACTTTCAGCCTTACCATGTATTTCATATGTGAATCTTCATACTTACAACTATAGAAGTCTTGAGGTATATTACGAGCCCTGATACGAGGTGAAGGCCCTTGATACATGTAGAAGTTTATCTGGGGAAAATAATCTGTCATATATTCCAACTTGTCACAGAAAGTTTGATCCATTCCTGAATGAAAAACAAACAAACCTTATCTACTGAATGTACAAAGGTAGGAACAGCCTGTGGTCTTTAATCATATCAAGCAGAAGACATTTTGTTACTAGATTTCAAACCAAGTTTCACAATAACATATATAATTTATCCTGTTACTTTAAATGGCAGAACTTGAACACAGTGGCACTAGAGGAAAGGGTCATATGTATGTGTGAGACAATTGGTGTTAATTGCTGTTGAGTTGATTTCAACTCATAACAACCCTGTATAAAGTTTCCAAGGCCGTAAGTCTTTTCAGAAGCAGAAAGCCACATCTTTCTCCCACAGAGTGGCTGGTAGGTTCGAACCACAGACCTTGTAGTTCACAGTCCAGTGTTTAGCCTACAGAGCTACTGCACTTCCCATATGAGAGAATAAACAGATCTATCTGCTCAATGATGATTAATCCTTTACAAAGGACCAAATAAGATTTTTAAATATCTGATCTATACGGAAGGAAACATTTTTAAATTTAAAAAGAAACATAAATAAAAAAGGAGACAATGCAGAAGAGAATTTCAAATTACCACAGAATCCAGATTTTCTGGAGTCATAGAGTCATCTTAAAACCAAACAATAGTTTAGTTTAACTGGTAGAGAATGTCTGCCTTGAACATTGTGTTCTTTTAAGATCTGTCTTAAGTACAAACTGTTAGCTAGCTATATGACCGGCAGTTCAAATCCACCTTGGCAACCAGATACAGGATCATTATGAGTAGGAACCACCACTCATCTGTCAGAAGTTTGTCATACTGTGGTGACTTATGAGTTGCTGAGAGTCTGGAAGTTATGCCATGGATATTTTAAATACCAGCAGGGTCAACCTTGGTGGACAGGTTTCATATGAGCTTCCAGACAAAGACAGACTAAGAAGAAGGTGTGATGAACTACTTCCAAATATTTAGTCACTGAAAATCTTATGAACATCAGAGAAACACTGTCAGATATAGTGTCAAAAAATGAGCCCCTCAGGTTGGAAGGCACTCAAAATGCGACTGGGGAAGAGCTGTCTCCTCAAAGTAGAGGGGGCTGTGATGATGCGAATGGAATAAAGCCCATGGGAGTAAAGTCTGCGGGCCCTTCATTTGCTGATGGGGCACAACTCAAAATGAAGGAAAACACCTGTAAATATCCATTAATAATCAGAACAAGGAATGTACAAAGTATGAATCTAGGAAAATTGGAAATTGTCAAAAATGAAATGGAACACATAAACATTGATATCTTAGGCATTTTTGTTGTTGTTAGGTGTCATCTAGTTGGTACCAACTCATAGCAACCTGATGCACAGCAGAATGAAACACTCCCCAATCCTGGGCCAACCTCACAATTGTTGCCACACTGGAGCCCATTGATGCTGACACTTTACCAGTCCATCTCGCTGGAGCTCTTCCTCTTTTTTGCTGACCCTGTGCCTTACCAAACATGATATCCCTCTCCAGTGACTGGTCCCTCCTGACAATATGTTACTAGTGAACTGAAATGAACTGGTATTGGCCATTTTGAATCTAACATGGTTTACTATGCCGGGAATGACAAAATGAAGAGAAATGGTGTTGCATTCATTGTCAAAAAGAACATATCCTGATTAGTCATGAGGTACAATGCTATCTGTGATAGATAATATCCATGCATCTACAGGGAAGCCCAGTTAATACCACTATTATTCAAATTTATTCACCAACAACTAAAGCCAGTGAGGATCAAGTAGAAGAATTCTATCAACTTCTTCCATCTGAAATTGATCAAACATGCAATCAAGATGTATTGATCACCACTGGTGAATGGAATGCAAAGGTTGGGAACAAAGAGGATCAGTAGTTGGAAAATATAGTCTTGGTGATAGAAATGATGCTGGCGATCACATGATAGAAGTCTGCAAACTCAATGATTTGTTCATTTCAAATACCTTCTTTAGACAGCATAAGAAATGACTGTACACATGGACCTCACCAGATAAAATACATAGAAATCATATTGACTGTGTCTGTGGAAAGAGACGATGGAAAAGCTCTAGATCCTCAGCCAAAACAAGGCCGGGGCAGATTGTAGAAAGGACCATCAATTGCTCATATGCAAATTCAGATTGAAGCTGAAAAAAATAAAAACAAGTCCACACGATTCAAAATATGACCCTGAATATATCCCACCTGAATTTAGAGATCATCTGAAGAACAGATTTGATACATTAAACACTAAAGACTGAAGATCAGAAGTGTTGTGGGATGACATCAAGAGCATCATACAGGAGGAAAGCAAAAAGTCATTAAGAAGACAGGAAAGAAGGAAAAAGTCAAAATGGATATCAAAAGAGACACTGAAACTTGCTCTCCAGAGTAGAGATGCTAAAACAAATGGAAGAAATGAGGAGGTACAAGAGCCGAACAGAAAATTTCAAAGGTCAGCTTGAGAAGACGAAGTCAAATATTACAAAAAAATGTGCAAAGATCTGGAATCAGAAAACCGAAAGGAAAGAACACACTCAGCATTTATCAATCTGGGGGAACTGAAGAAAAAATTCAAGGCTCAACTTTCATTATTGAAGGATTCTCTGGGCAAATTATTGAATGATGCAGAAAGCATTAAAAGAAGATGGAAGGAATACACAGAGTCGCTGTACCAAAAGGAAATGGTTGATGTTCAATCATTTCAAGAGGTAGCATAAGATCAAGAGCCAATGATACTTAAAGAAGTTCAAGGTGCAATTAAGGAATTGGCAAAGAATAAGGCACCAGGAATTGATGGAATAAAAATTGAAATCTTTCAAGACAGTGAGGTACTCACTCATCTATGCCAAGAAATTTGGAAGACAACTATCTGGCCAATTGATTGGAAGAGATCTGCATTTGTGCCCAATCCAAAGAGAGGTGACCCCATGGAATGAGGAAATCATTGGATAATATCTTTGACATCCCATTGGAGTAAAGTTTTACTAAAGGTAATACAGAAATGGCTGCAAGCATATATTGACAAAGAACTTGCAGAGGTTCAAGTCGGATTCAGAAGAGGACATGGAACAAGGGGTATCATTGCTGATGTCCAATGGATCTTGGCTGAAAACAGAAAATACCATAAAGATGTTTACCTGTGCATTATTAACTATGCAAAGGCTTTCAATTGTGTGGATCAAAACAAGCTATGGACAACATTGCAAAGTATGAGTATTCCTGAACACTTAATTGTGCTCATGAGGAATCTGTACGCAGATATTAGACCAAAACAAGCTAATACCGAATGGTTTAAAATTAAGAAAGGTGTCCAACAGGGTTGTATTCTTTCACCATACTTATTCAACATGTATGCTGAGCAAATAATCTTAGAAGCTGGGTTATATGAAGAAATACATGGCATCAGGATTGGAGGAAGACTCATTAACAACCTGCTATATGCAGATTATACAACCTTGCTTGCTGAAAATGAAGAGGACTTAAAATACTTACTGATGAAGATAAACGACCACAGCCTTCGGTATGGATTGTGTCTCAATGTCAAGAAAACAAAAATCCTCACCACTGGACCAATAAACAACATTCTTATCAACGGAGAAAAGATTGATGTTGTCAAGGACTTCATTCTTCTTGAATCAACAATCAACACTCATGGAAGCATCAGTCAAGAAATCAGACGACACATTGCATTAGGCAAATCTGCTACACAAGACCTTTTTAAAGTGTTGAAGAGCAAAGATGTCAGCTTGAGGACTAAGGTGCGCCTGACCCATGCCATGGTATTTTCAATCATCTCATATGCGTGCGAAAGCTGGACAATGAATAAGGAAGACCATAGAAGAATTGATGCTTTTGAGTTATGGTGGTGGAGGAAAATATTGAAAGTGCCATGGGTTGACAAAAGAACCAATAGATTTGTGTTGGAAGAAGTTCAGCCAGAGTGCTCCTTGGAGGCCAGGATGGCCAAATTTCATCTCTCATACTTTGGACATATTGTCAGGGAGGACCAGTCACTGGAGAAGGATACCATGTATGGCAAGGTGGCAGGTCAGAGAAAAAGAGGAAGACCGCCAGCGAGATGGATTGGCCAAGTGGCAGCATCAATGGGCTCAAGTGTGGCAACAATTGTGAGGTTGGCTCAGAACTGGGCAATGTTTTGTTCTGTTGTGCATAGGGTCGCTATGAGTTGGTACTGGCTCGATGACACCTAACAACAACAACATGTATAGGAACTGACTCAATGGCACTTAAGAACAATTGTTAAGGAATAGGACCTTGGGGCCTTGTATACTCTGACCAAAAGCCTGGGAATCATGGGGTCTGGAAAACACTGACCAAAAATCCTAGAGCATGCTGACATTTAGAAAAATAACATAACAATATTAGGCATATCCTAGCTTCCCACAAGGCAATGCCTGACTTCATGATAAACCCGCAAAATAACCACAAACTCCCTCTTGCCCTAAAAACAGAACAAACAGGATCCTGGAGCATGCTCACAGGAAAAAGAAGAAAACCTTAAAATAACCCAAAATTGGTTTCATAGATCACAAGTAGGAATGAAGCAAGAAGAAGTTGATATCTAGATGCGCATGCACCACCACCCATATTAAGGATAGACAATGTTCCCCCAGAGACCCTTGAGACAGATTCCATCTTGAAAGTGCAGACTCCAGCATACTGAAGAGAAAGTGCACCTGAAGCTCCAGGGGTAATGGGGGAAGGATGGAAGGAATGGCAGTTGTCAAGCCACCACCAGCATCTCCACCCTGGAGCTCATCCAAACTAGCCCTCTCCATCACAAACTGCCCTATTTAACCTTCTAGCTTTGTACACTAGGGAGGGGAGGCACAGCTACTATAGTGTGCCTCCTCTTGCAAGGTGTTCTTTAACAAATTTCTCTTCCCCTTTTAAGGTTGTTGTTGTTGTTAAGTGCGATCGAGTCGATTCCGACCCATAGCGACCCTGTATAGTGTTACCAAGGAGCAGCTGATGAGCGTGAACCACCGACCTTACAGTTCAAATGACTTTGCATTCAGACACATTAGCCCACAGTGCCACACCTGGTATTCTTTAGTAAATCTTTGTAGGTAACAGCTTGACTTTCTAGTCATTAATCCAGACTGTCAGAAGAACAAACAAATCTATGTGGGAAGAATTACAACCAGAACACTCCTTAGAAGCCAGGAGAAAGCAAAGATAACAAGACTCTGTGTACCTTATGTGATACATGTTACCAGGAGGGATGAGTTCCTGGAGGACATCATGCTTGGTAAAGAGGAGGGTCAGTGAAGAAGAGGAAGACCCCAATGAAGATGGATTGGCACAGTGACAGCAACAGTGAGCTCAAGTGTAGCAAAGATTGAGAGATTGGTGCAGAACTGGGCAAGGTTTCTTTCTGTTGTGCATAGGGTTGTGATGAGTCTTAACAACTCAACTTAACAACAAAAACAATCTACCAGGATCACACTGATACCAACTCAAAAACTTAGATCGGAAACTTAAGGAGCAGAGAGTTTATTTAAAGGACATACAAAAAGTGCATGGAAAATTATTTTCTAACTATGTTCTCCACAAACTTTTTGAAATCCCCTCATATTAATGGAGCAGAGACATTTGGGGGAAGGAGGGTGAGGACGCTTGCACAATTTGAAGAATGTGGTAAATTACTATTTTTTAAGTGTATTTTTGTTGAACAATACTTTAGAAGAATAAGAAATTAAGCAATGTTTGTTTTTCATAAGTATGCTATTTGAATTTTTATAAAGAGCATGTGATCTGAAAAATGGTTTGGTACTTAAAACCTTTTAATTTGAAGATTCTTCAGACTATCTTAATTTTTATTTCTATCATTTTTTGTTGTTGTCCAAAAGATTTTTTTTAAGTTTTTTTTTTTTTTTTGTGTGTGTGTGTGTGTGATTTGGGTGAAAGTTTACAGAGCAAATTGGTTTTCCAAACAAGAATTCATACACGTTTTGTTGTATGACCTCAATTACAATCCCCACAATGTAACAGCACTGTGCCCACTGGTCTGTTTTTCCCAGGTCCATTCATTCTTCTTTCCTCATCCCTCCTTCCTTCTGAGCTTTCTTGTTGTTAAGTGCCAGCAAGTTAGTGCTGACTCACAGCAAACCTGTACAGATTTGACCCTCCAACCTCTTTGTTAGCAGTCAGGTGCTTATCCTAGGGTGCCACACCAGGATGGTGAGCTTTATTCCTGGATAAATGCTGTCTTTTACTCTTGTGTGGTTGATTGCTGTAAGGAGTGCATCCCTCCCTGGTGCTATTGTTCCTCTTATAGGACTGTCACCGTTGGGCTAAAAGGGGATTCACAGGGTGAATTTAGTTCTGGATCATAGTCTCTATCAGACCAGTAAACCTGGTTTTGGGGTTTTTTGTTTTGTTTTTTTCCTCTGTCCAGAACCTCCTGTTCTGATCCCTGTCCTTCACAGATGCTAGAGCTCAGTGTGACTGCCCTCCTTGAGAAGACACTATCTGAAAAGACAAGCACTGAACACATTATCTTGAAAAGTTCCACGTCTGCTTCATGTGGCTTTGAAAACTCCTTACCTGGTAGACTGTTCAGAATTCAGAAGGCACTTAAAAATATCTGTTGAATGAATACCTGCCTTGAAACTATGTAAAGGCATTCTGTGTGAGGTGAGTAAGAACGTGACACCTTGATTTTAATACTCAAGTTAAAAGAAACCAAGAGTTAATCTCAAAGAAGGAAGTATGGAATGACAAAGACTTTATAGATGAAAACTATGATTTGTGGTAGTGGTAGTTGTGTGCTGTTGAGTCTGGTCAAACCTGTCTAGGGTTTCTGAAGCTAGAAATCTTTACGGGAGCAGGAAGCCTCATCTTTCTCCCAAGAAGCTGCTGGTAGACTCAAACTGCTGATGTGTGGTTAGCAGCCCAACTCGTAATCTTCTATTGCTACCAGTGCGCCTTGAAAACTGTGGTAACAGGCTACTAATAAAAAAATACACATGGCATAACAAACTAGTCAAAATAATAAATTGCAACGAACAGATGTAAATGAATCACCCCCTGAAAAGCACTTGTTATGACTAAATCATAACCCTACCATGTCTCTGGTAAATGCTATTGGCGCCATTTTAACAGAAGTTAAAATCTGTGAGTGGCTTTTCAAAAGGAATGTTAGAATGAATGTTTTGCTGTGTTCATCACAACAGAAAACAAAACTCATTCTTTGCTTAAGCAACATCTCCACTGTCTAGAAGCCCAGACTTTAAAATATTACAACTATTTTTGTACACTCCCTGAAGTGACAAAATACAGTAAATGAGAATCTGTGATAACAACAAAAGGAACCCTGGTGCTTCAGTGGGTTAAACCTTGGCTGCTAATCATGAGGTTGGTGGTTTAAACTCAGCAGCTACAGGGGTTTAAACAGCACCGTAGGAGAAAGATGAGGCTGTCTGCTCCTATAAACATCTACAGACTCAGAATTTCTATATGGGTCACTATGAGTTGGAATTGACTTCATGGCCATGGCTTTGATTTGGGTTTGGGTTTATGATAACAAAAAACATACCATGATCAGCCAAAAGGATAATATTGGCACAATTGTGTAAGTTCCGCTGTTTTAGGCCTTCCATCAACATTCCAAAAGTTTGATCTACCAACTGTAAGGCTTGAACTACCTAAGGAAAAAAAATTAGAGTTCACGTTGCTTTCATAAATTGTTTTCAATACCCAAATCACTAACTAATTGAATAAAACATTAACACTTTTCCTTTACTCAAATCACTGGTTTGTAAAATAGGATGGGCGAACCCAGCATTCATGTCATCTCATTTACCAATGCAAATTCTGTAAACCTCTTTAGAAAATTAAAACGTGTTCCCTACAAAGGAAGGTATACTAATGGCTGATAAGTATATGGTGGGGGGGGGGGGAGTTCAACATCAACAAGCACATTTCCACTGCAAATATTTACGTGATTCTGTTCTATTTGGAAGGAGAGTCTTTGGAAGTCTAAACTGTTACACGCTCTCTGGAGGATCATGTTAACAATGTGTAATCACAGAGCTAAAAATGTGCATACCTTATAAGCTAATCATTCTACTGCTGGGAAATTGTCATAAATTAATCCTTAGAAATGAATAAGCCAAACAAATGGAGACCAACAAATAAGAATATTCAACACACTATACAAGGAAAATAAATTATTGCACTTTTTAAAAAGTCATATTCTATAGCCATTAGCACATATTTTTAGAGAACAGTGACATGGGAAGATGTTCACAGCACAGTCTTAACCATTATTTTAAAAATGAAAACCAAACTCTATCCAGGCGTACCTCGTATTATTGTGTTTCATGTTATTGTGAGTTGCAGATTTTGTCTTTTTTTTTTTTCGCTACAAATGGAAGGTTTGTGGCAATTTTATGTCGATCAAGTCTGTTGGTACCATTTTTCCAACAGCACATGCTCACGAAGTGTTTCTGGGTCACATTTTGGTAACTCTCATTCTATTTCAAATTACTTCATACTGTTATTGCATGTTTACTAGACTACAGTATAGTATAAACATAATTTTTGTATGCTCTGAGAAACCAAAGAATTCATGTGACTCACTTTATTGCAGTGGTCTGGAACCGAGTCTACATTATCTCTGTGGTACGCTTTTACACACTTATATTGTATGATCCTGATTTTGCTTTTAAATACATTTAGTATATTCTTAGCAAACACATATGTACAAAAATCTGTAAGGAAATATATCCAAATACTATTAGCAGTGCTTGGTGCTGAATAGTTAAATTGGAGTTCATTTTTACTTTATATTAACGGACTGGGGAAACATGTGTGCTTTCTCATAGTACTATTATAGCAATAATCTCTTTTTGCTTTTTGCTTTTATATGAAAGATACTGCTAGTAGCTAATGTATTTCTCATGAAAACTTTATAGCAAATATGAACAATTAAAATAGAAAAGAAACAGTGACTATGTTTTAGATAATCTCAAAGCCATCTTGTGATGATGTTGTAATACACTGATAAAGGACAAAGGCATGCTGCTCAAAGAAACATACTTGCTGAAAACACTTCAATTGAGGACAATTATTAGGATAGGAGCATGCCATATTCAGTGGGGCCTTTGCAGATTTAGGTTATGGACAAGTGAAGTGTGGGCTTTGGTAGATTTTAGAAGAGAAAATTATTTTTTAAAACCTACAGTCTTAAGAATCATAGTAAGATCTTAGCATGTAATGTTAATGAATAAACTAAGTAGATAATGATGAGACTGATATGGTGCTGTAGGATAAGCACTGTACTGCTAGTTTCAAGGTCATCAGTTCAAACCCACTAGCCACTCTCATAAACCCTATACAGGATCACTATGAATCAGAACCAACTTGATGGCATACAAGAACAATATTACAGGGTCCATTTCCATGATGATGGGGGACTAGAAGGGGAGTCATTTTGGCTTTGTTGCTGTTGTTAAATGCTGTCGAGTTGATTCTGACCCATAGCCACCCTATATGGGGTTTCCAAGGAGTGGCTGGTGAGCTTGAACGGCCAACCCTTAGGGTCACACCAACTTTGCATTCCAATGCATTACCCCACAGCACCACACTAGGACTCCCATTTTGGCTTAGGCAATTACATATTAAGTCCAACGGTGAGGAACTTATGAATGGAACTGTGCATACATAGCATTTACCAAAAAAAAAGATTTGGCTTGAAGTGAATCACACTATCATGTTGAACTGACATGTGCAGTATGGAGCCTTGATGTTTTCACTATACAAAACACTGGTGACACATGTAAGTATTTAATAAATGTGTATCAAATAAATCAACATGTGATTAATACGGCAGATATCTTTTGTGGACTTATACCTATTTCGATTTCCTTGGATAGCTATCAAAAACATTTTTGTTGAGTGAAAATTTAAAAATAAATTGTGTGTGTGTGTGTGTTAGGGTAAGATGATTTTAAAATGTGTTTAGAAAGCAATCAAACAAACAAACTTACATTGGCACTGACTGGTCCAGCACTATGACCTGCAGAATCAGGCTCTTCCACATAGATGGTGTAAAAATGGGGTCTAGTGGTAAAAGCAAAGAGACATTACGAATTTAGAATAAATCTATGCGTTAGCGTTGGGGATTTTGTAGATCTAGAACTTTCTGTCAGTTGCCTTCTGTTTTTCTCTGTCCTCCCTCTCTCATTCAGGCCAGGTGAAACCCAGAAGGGAAAGGTTTCCTAGCAGGAAATAAATAATACCTTCCTGGTATGCCTCGGTTTGAGTATTTGTCTTACTCTTGTTAAAACCTCTCTTGGTGTGGTCCAGTTTTTGTGTTTCCTGGTTTCTGACTTTTTGCTGATTCTTTGTTCTGCCCTCCTAGTTTTACAAGCCTAATTCTCTCTTCAGATGTTTGGTTTCTGTTGCATTATTTCCCTAGTGCTTTCTTTTCCGGGTGCTCTGACCCCAGCCTGGGGCTATGGCCTTGCTCTGAGCTCTGGCTCCTAAAGTTGGATCTCATCATGGAATTTCACACCCACTCTCAGTTCTACCTTGAACTTCAGAAGTGTATAGGCTGCTTACACTGTTCTTATTGCCTTTAGAAATGTGGAGGTCATGTCAAGAAACAATACCTCTATATCTGATGCTGTAAGATTTGCCTCTGTCCTTAATACCAGCTCTATTTCTATTGTTTGAGATGTCAACCACATCTCTACAGCAAAAGTGCCCATTCACTTAAGGAATTCTAGGGTTATTTTTCTACAGAAAGTCATTTTAAGTAAGGCAATAATTTCATTTTCTACCCATATATATCCCACTGTGCCTGCAACTCTCTGAAACTCGATATTACCTTTCAGCCTTGGGCAGGTCCAGCCATTTCAACAATGTAGAAATCCTCTCTTGATATGGAATCTTACTGAAAAAAGGAATAAAAATTATTTTTTAAAAAAATATATATTTTAAAGAATTATCGCATTATATGCCTGTTCAGAAATCTACTGCCCTTATGTTGATTCCAACTCATTACAACCCTAAATTTGTTGTTGTTGTTAAGTGCCGTCAAGTCGTTTCCGACCCATAGCGACCCTGTACAGGGTTTCCGAGGGTGTAAATCTTTACGGGAGTAGAAAGCCTCATCTTTCTCCCGCAAAACTGTTCCTTAGGGGTTCTTAGAATGTATTGTTTACGGGAGCAGACAGCATCATCTTTCTCCCATAGAGTGGCTGGTGGGTTTGAACCATCGATCTTGCAGTAAGCAGCTCAGTGCTTAACCCACAGTACCAATATTCATCCTTCCTATTCAGGAATGTAGGTTGATATTTTCAGATATTCAGTGTTATCCATTTCAGTCAGTGAAGCATTGATGTATATACTGAGCACCTATTGCTAGTCACCAAGGAGCTCTGGTAGCGTAGTGGTTATGAGTCCAGCTGCGAACCTCAAGGTCAGAAGTTCGACACTACCAGCAATTCCATGGGAGAAGGATGAGGCTTTCTGCTCCCATAAAGATTTACAGCCTCGGAAACCCTATACAGGGTCGCTATGGGTCGGAACCAACTCCACAGCCATACCACCACCACCACTACCACCATTGCTTGTCACGCTTTGTTCATTGAAAACAAACTTTATTGGGAACAAACAAAGATGCCTGCCTTCCTGGAGATTACGTACTAGCAGAGGAAGATATGTAACAAACTTATTGTTGTTGTTGTTAGGTGTCATCAAGTCAGTTCTGACTCATAGCGATCCTGTGCACAACAGAACAAAACACTGCTCTATCCTGTACCGTCCTCACAATTGCTTCGCTTGAGTCCATTGCTGCTCCCAGTGAGTAATTCCATCTCATTAAGGGTCATCCTCTTTTTCGTTGACCCCCCACTTTACCAAGAATGATGTCCTTCTCCAAGGACTTGTCCATCCTGATGACATGTACAACATATGGTAGACAAAGTCTCGTTATCCTTGCTTACTTACTGTACTTTCCCCAAAACAGATTTGTGTGTTTTTCCTTTGTTGTTGTTGTTGTTAAGTGCCATCGAGTCGGGTCCGACCCATAGCGACCCAGTACAGGGTTTCCGAGGCTGTAAATCTTTATGGGAGTAGAAAGCCTCATCTTTCTCCCGCGGAGCGACTGGTAGTTTCGAACCACTGACCTTAAAGTTCGCAGCCCAATTCATAACCACTACGCTACCAGAGCTCCTTTAGTCTGTGGTATTTCTAATACTTTTCTACAACATAATTCAAGTGCAATGATTCTTTTCTGGTCTTCATTACTCATTGTCCAACTTTCACAGACATATGAAACGAATGAAAATACCAGGGGCCAAATATTTGGGTCAGGCACTGTATCTGACAAAGTTGTTGTTGTTAAGTGCCATTGAGTTGGTTCCAACTCATAGTGACCCTGTATAGTATTTCCAAGGAGTGGCTGGTGGGTTTAAACCACTGCTGACCTTGTGGTTAGCAATTCAGTGCTTACCATACAGCTCCACACCAGGACTCCATTATCTGACAAAGCTCTGTTACCATTCATAAGGGTTTCAGTGGCTAACCATTCAAAAGTAGCATGCCTCTCATTCCTAGTCTGTCTTAGTCTAAAAGTTATGCTGAAACCTGTCTACCATGGGTAACCCTGCTGGTATTTAAAATACTGGTGGATAACTTCCAAAATCACAGCAACACATAAGTCATCACACTATGACAATCTTAAAGTTAAAACAGCAATAAATTATAGAATGTGATCATTGCTATGTAAAAAAAGACACACTAGAACAGAATGCACAATTTAAAACTTTATTCTACTTATCCAGGTCTCAGTGCCCTAAGGGGAATAAGTAGACTAAAGTTTTAAATTGTGGTATAGTCAGTTGAGAAGGAGATTTTTGAGCAGAGACCTGAAAGAGCCTAGGGAGTTGGCTGCATGGATACGTGGACTGAGATCATCTCAAGCAGAGGGAACAGGCAGTGCAAAGGCCCGAAGAAGGAAGGAAACCTGGAGTGTTTGAGGACTCGAGAAGAGGTCTGTGTGGCTACAGCAGAATGAGCATGCAGGGGAAAGGTGGGAGAGGTGGTCTGAGAGGTAAGAGGTGGGATGGTGCAGGTCACACTGTGTAGGTCCTTGTAGGCATTTACTCTGAGAGAAATAGGGAGGTATCAAATTTTTTTTTGGTGTAAGCAAAGGAAAAAAAGTCATAACTGGACTTGCTGTTTAAAAGAATCATTCTGACTGATGAATTACAGGAAACTAGACTAGAGGCAGGGAGGTCTGTAAAGTGATTTCAGCCATACTAGGAAGAGATGATGATAACTCAACCCAGAGTGGTAATGCCATAGGTAGGAAAATAGTCTCTGGTTCTGTATGTGTTTTGAATTAGAGCCAAATGCATTTCCTGACAGACTGGATGAGAGATATGGAAGAGAGGCATCAGTAATGACTTCAAGAGTTTGGGCCCAAACTACTGGAAGAATAGATTTACTATCAAGATTAAAATAAAAACAAAAAACAAAACCCCATCTCCTAGTCATTCCTGTCTAGATGGAGTCATGCCTGAATGTCCTGCACTTACTTGCTGTACACCACGTATTTGGAAGGAAAGGTGCCATTTATAGCCACATCTGATCCTGGCCAGAAGTAGGTACCAGCTTTTAAACCCTGATTCATTGCTGTCAGCCAGATCTATAAGAGAAAATTGTTAAGGTGAAAAAGTCAATAGAATAATGAGTTTGGGAAGAAATTGTAGAAACTGAACAATATTTACAGTTGCAAATGTATTGAATTTACTTAAGTGTATAAAATATCTTTGAATTATTTTAAATTTGTCTGTGTAGCAATTAAAAGACATAATTATCCAGGGATCATGCTTAAAAATCAGAAAGGTAGTAAGGTAGTAAAAAAAAAAATCTTTTTTTTTTTCCTTTCAAATTGGTAAACTGACAGTTTCACTTTCTCTTTCAATGAATTACGAAATAGAATGAGGATAATTAATATATAATCTGAGTAATTTTCAGATTTATAATATAACACTCAAGTTTCATCAAAAAGGCCATTTCAGTGAACAATCATAAAGGTTTTAAAATTCAAATTATATATAGTGGTAAGACATGTTGCCACATCTAGACCTTGAAACTAGATGTATGATAATGTAAAACTCTCCAGGAAGAGTTTTGTCATCATTTTGGGAAATGGAAGCTATTTGGGTTTCTCATATTAAATGCTACTTACTGGTTGTCCACCCCACCAGGCTGGATTCTCTTTTTCTTTTGATGACAGTGAAAAATTCATATTGAGGGTTACATCATACATATTATTGTCAATGATGCCATGTGATTCTGGATATAAGCCCTAAAACAATATATATATTAAAAAAGACATAAGATGTAATAACATATTAGTGAAATATTTATTTAAATTTAAATATCATAAGATCTATAACTCATATCTAGAAAAATTGTCATATAAATTTCAGTGTAAAACCCTTGAATAAATACCCAAATGCCAATACATGTAATAAACAGACACACAAAAGTGGAATTCAAAAAGTATTGCTAGTAGGGTTCTAGTTCATAAACGCATTGGTTTATTCCAAACACAACTCATTTAAACATGTTTCTGCAATCTGACTGAAGGCAAGTTCTATCAGTAATACAGTTGTCTTAGTCTCATTAGAGTGGGTTCAATAAAAAGGTCTAATCAAAACAGTGGCTTCTGAGGGAATCTGCTAGGCCAGTTAATTCAAGGCACAGCAATTATGATGACAGTTCTTTTGGAATTCCAAAAAGGTAATATTGATAGATATTCTTGAAGAACAAAAAAACTACCATGTAGGCTTATTATAATTTTTTTTTTTAATGGAAAATTGCATTGGTGAGAAAAAGGCCAGAAAAGTTAAGACAATCATTTTTCCTATCATGACAATGCACCTGCTCATTCTTCAATGGTGGTAGCAGGGGCTGTCCTATGAGACAGAATTTAATGGAATTTAATGGAGACCCTTTGCCCCATCCACCCTATAGCCCTGATCTTGTCCCTTCAAACTTAATTTTGTTCCCAAATAGAGAATATTTAAAGGGAACATGATTTGAATTGTCCGAGAATGCCCAAAGTGCCGTGTGGATGTGGTGTAAATCAAAGAAAGCAGTATTCTTCAAGGAAGGGTTGCTGTTTTCAGGTGTCGTACAGGCGGTGAGTCAGACAACAGAGCAGAGAACTGCCCAGTCCCATGTCATCCTCACAATTACTATTACACTTGAGCTCATCACTGCTGCCACTGTGCCAATCTATTTTGTTGGGAGGCTTCCTTTTTTTTTGCTGAACCTCCACTTTTCCAAGTATGATGTCCTTCTCCAAGGACTATTTTTCCTGATAACATGTCTGAAGTATGAGCGATGATGTCTCACCATCCTCGCTTCTAAGGAACAGTCTGGCTGCACTTCTTCCAACACAGAATTGTTTGTTCTTTTAATATTTAATATTTGTTCTTTTGGTATTTTAATATTCAGTGCATGGTACTTTTACTATTCTTCTCCAAACCATAATTTGAATGCATCAATTCTTCTATGGTCTTCCTAATTCACTGTCCAACTTTCATATGCATATGAGGCTACGGAAAATACTATGGGAAAGGTTAGAGAGAGGAAATACTACTACCTTAAGTATATGGACTTGTTGTTGTTGTTGTTAAGTGCCATCAAGTCGGTTCCGATCCATAGCAACCCTGAACAGGGTTTCTGAGGCTGTAAATCTTTACGGGAGCAGAAATCCTCATCTTTCTGCCAAGGACTAGCTGGTACTTTCGAACTGCTGACCTTGCGGTTCACAGCCCGAAGCACTATGCTACCAGAGCTCCTTGTAAGTATATGGACTTAGACAGAGTTTATTCCAGGAAATAATACCTTCATATGTTGATATTTTTGTTTAATAAAAGTTTCTATAATTTTGTAGCAATACTTTTTTACTTAACCCTCCTATTTGTACACACATATTCATTCAATAACCATTCTGCTTTAAGTGTGTCTGCTTTCATCAAGTCTCTGTCAGTGACCTGTCAGTTACTTTTGACATTCAGTCAAGCACTTACAGTGACAATGGTGTAATGATTTGGGAAGGTTTTGGTGGGATAAGCAGCTCTCATATATTTCGAATGAATTCCACATGTTTCTGCAAAAAAGTAGAGTGAGAGGTTAAAAAATTGTTCCTTCCTCAGAAGTTTTTTTAATAACTAAAAATCTGAACATGTAAATTTACCAAAGAAATAAAAAAACTAAAGAGTGGAATGTAAGTACAAGGAGGTTGCAATGCTAACTCTGAAAGCTCATCATTCTAAGAAATGTCAGTTTTTAGGGTTCCAAAAAGTTCATGGAAAAATAGAATTAGAAGATAATGGAATTCTTCAATGAACTATCCAAAGACCCCTCATGTATATCATGAAGGAGAAGGATATCATGCATGGTAAGGTGGAGGGTCAGAGAAAAAGAGAAAGACCCCCAACGAGATGGATTGGCCAAGTGGCAGCATCGATGGACTCAAGCGTGGCAACAGTAGTGAGGCTGGCCAAGGATCAGGCAACATTTCGTTCTGCTGTGCATAAGGTCGCTATGAGTCAGTACTGACTCGCTGGCACCTAACAACAACAACAACATGTATATATAAACCCAGTGTTGTCAAGTCAATTACATACATATATGTGTTGTTCAGTGCCATTGAGTTGTTTCTGACTCATAACAAGTTTATATACAACAGAACAAAACCCTGCCTGGTCCTGCATCAATCTCACAATCATTGCTACACTTGAGCTCACTGCTGCTACCACTGTGCCAGTCCATCTCATTAGGGGTTAAATATTCTGAAGTCGTCTTCCTCTCCTTCTTTCTAATCTATGTGGAAACTCAGTGAACCCTGTCCACTATGGGCGACCCTGTGAGCCTTCAAATTTTGGTGGCATAGTTTCCAGAATCACAGCAACTTGCAAGCCACCAACAGTAGGACAAAATGACAGATGAGTGGTGGTTAATACATATATATAAAATCTCCTGGTGTCACACGTAAGATAAGCACTTGACTGCTAACCAAAATATTGGCAGTTCTAACCCATTAGCCACTCCTTGGAAACCCTATACAGCTTCACTATGAGTCATAAACAACTAGACAGCATTTAACAGTAACAAACAGCACACACACACACACCCACATACCTTGGAGTGGTGTTGTAAGATAAGCACACTGGACTGCTAACAAAAAGGTCAGCAGTGTGAACCCACCAGCGACTATTGGAAATCCTATAAAGGATTGTTGCTCAATGGTGCAGCAACTTTATATATATATATGGAGCTCTGGTAGAGTAGTGGTTATGAATTGGGCTGCTAACCTGAAAGTCAGCAGGTGAAAGATGAGGCTTTCTGCTCCTGTAAAGATTTACAGCCTCAGGAATCCTGTGCAGGATCACTATGGGTCGGAACTGACTCCACGGTACTTAACAACAACATATATATATATATATAAACATCTAGTGTGGCGCTGTGGGCTAATGTGCTGTACTGCAAAGTTGCTTTGAACCACAAGGTCAGTGATTCAAGATCACCAGTCATTCCTCAGAAACCCTAAACAGGGTTGCTATGGGTCAGAACTGACTCAGTGGCACTTAACAACAACAACAACTATATATATTGCTTTGTCTTTCTCCCGTGGAGTGGCCCAGTCCTGAGCCAACCTCACAATCGTTGCTACGCCTGAGCCCATTGTTAATGCCACCATGCCAATCCATCTCACTGAGAGTCTTTCTCTTTTTCTCTGACCCTCAGTTTGCCAAACACAATATCCTTCTCCAGGGACTGCTCCCTCCCGACAATAAGTCCGAAGTATGAAAGACGAAGTCTGTCCATCCTGACTTCCAAGGAGCACTCTGGCTGTACCTCTTCCAACACAGATCTGTTTGTTCTTTTGGAATTCCCTGCCCACATGGGTGACCCTGCTGGTATTTAAAATACCCGTGACATAGCTTCCAGAAGCACATCAACACAGAAGCCACCACAGTACGACAAACTGACAGACGAGTGGTGGAAAAGTAGCCATATACATAAATTAAAACATATGGCTGTGTTCTATTAAAATGTAAGTTATGAACACTGAAATTTGAACGTCACATCATTTTCACATATCATAGAATACTGTTATTCATTTATTATTTTTTTTCTAACCATTTAAAAATACTTGGCCAGTGGCAGGCTATACACAAACAGGTAAGGTCTTACTGGCTAGTTTGCTGGCCTCTGAGCTAAATATATTCTAAATGATACACAGAAGGCTTAGTTCTGAGTGCAGTGGCTCCATAGAATATACACTAAACTGTGAACCATAAGATCAGCAGTTCGAGCCAACCAGCTGCTCATGGGAGACAGGTTCGCTACGAGTCAGTACTGACAACATGGCACTTAACAGTTTAATTTGCTTTTGCCACTCCCTTCTTCCAATGCTGAGAATTACAACTAAAAAAATCTATGTAACATTTGTATCTCAACAGATAGTTTTTTCCTATGTGAACCACTCAATATAACACAAGTAAACACAACTATCTAGATAACTAATAAGTGTTTTTGACTTCTACATCTACAGAGACAAATGTTCCAATGGTCCTGACCTTCTCAAGCAGGGTTTTTTGCACAGATTGCAAATGATCAGAACAATGGAAGCAAAACCAATTCCATGCTACAAAGGCAAATTGTTGTTGTTGTTGTTAAGTGCCGTCAAGTCGGTTCCGACCCATAGCGACCCTGTACAGGGTTTCCGAGGGTGTAAATCCTTACGGGAGTAGAAAGCCTCATCTTTCTCCCGCGGAGGGGCTGGTAGTTTCGAACTGCTGACCTTAAGGTTCACAGCCAGATTCGTAACCACTACACTACCATAGGCAAGTAGTAAATATTTTAAAAATAGCAAACTTTACTGCTTAATACTTTGAGTACAGTTTCCACTTCATTAGTGAAGTTTCCTGTAATCTGCTTGCCACAAAGCATGGAATTTAATTTTGCTTTCATTGTTCAAATAGTTTTCAATCTGTGCAATAACCCTGTTTACTGAGGTCAGGACCACTGGAACATGTTATTTCCTCTGCAACAGTGAAATACAAGAAAATTTCCATACAGGCTTCCTGCTGCTTCTCATTCAAAGAGGAAGCAAACGTGACCACTATGGATTCTATTTAGGTGAAAACAAAAGATTATTTGTTGTTCAGAAAGTTACAAGCTTTGCGGCTGGAAACAATGAATGTTTTCTCCAACTGGCATGGGGTTGTTCTCTTTCCCAGCCTTTAGTTTGGGGGTTTCCCAAGTGATCCAGGAGTTTCCTCCTTCAGAATCTTCTAGTGACCATGTCAAGTCTACTAATTAGGACTCTCTGATGTGGAGAATGAGCTGTAAACTAAAACATTTAAACTTTTAACAAATTCCAGTGTAATCAAGTTCAAAAACCAATTGCTTATAAAGGCTTGCTTCATAACATACAATTTAGAAGTAAAATAACTCTTTTGTAAATGCCACCAATAAATTAATCTTGTCCTTTACAGGAAGAGAAACATTTAGTGTTAATAAGAAATAATATGTTGTTGTTAAGTGCCGTTGAGTCGGTTCCAACCCATAGTGACCCTGAACAGGGTTTCCGAGGCTGTAAATCTTTACGGGAGCAGAATGCCTCATCTTTCTCCCGCGGAACAGCTGGTAGTTTCGAACTGCTGACCTTCCCGTTCGCAGCCCGATTTTTAACCACTACGCTACCAAGAAATAATATAAGCAAATAGAATGAAATTTAATATACTTATATGATTAAACGAATTAAATGGGAGGGGGAGGTCATACAGTGAGCTGAAATATGCGTAGAAACTAATTTTTGTGTCTAATTCCTTAAAGCATGGGTGAGAACCTCAAATTCTTAAATTCCTAAAGTCACAGAGTATAAAAGAAAAAGTATAAACTAAGCTGCTAGTATTATGAAACATGGCACACCCCTAGTTACAATGTCTTAAACAAGATATACCCCCTGGGAGTCCTGGTGTGACGAAGAGGGCTAATGTACTGGACTGCAAGGTCAGGAGTTCAAGGTCACCAGCCGCTCCTCAGAAACCCTATACAAGGTTGCTGTAAATCGGAAGTTACTCAACAGCACCTAACAACAACTGTTCGATAGCGTTCTACTGTTCTACTGTTCAAAAACAGTTCTACTGTTCAAAAACACTGTTGGTGCCACAGGATGAGCACAAGTGCAGCAGTTCAAACCCACCAGCCACTTCACAGGAGAAGGATGAGGCTTTCTGCCGATAAAGAGTCACAGTCTCAGAAACCCTACAATGTGCTGCACATAACAAGAACAGTAACAACTATTCAGTATTGCCAACCTTACTAATGCTAGCCTTCAAAATGTCATGTATCTTGTTGTTGTTGTTAAGTTCCGTAGAATTGGTTCCGACCCACAGCGACTCTCTATAGGGTTTCCAAGGAGAAGCTGGTGAGCTTGAACTGACGACCTTGCCGTTCAAATGGCTTTGCAGTCTGGTGTATTAACCCACAGTGCCACACCATGAATCCCTCATGTATCTTGTTGTTGTCAAGTGCCGTCGAGTTCATTCCGACCCATAGCAACCCTGTATAGGGTTTCCAAAGAGCAGCTGGTGAGCTTGAACCTCTGACCTTGCAGTTCAAACGGCTTTGCAGTCTGGGGCATTAACCCACAGCACCACACCAGGACTCCATGTATCTTACTTGCCTGTAAATTAGCTGTCACCCTGTAATTTTGAGTTTTATTTTATTCCATTTCCTACATAGTTTTCCAGAAAGCTTGATACCCTGTTCAGGCCACATGATTTCTATTTCACCTCACAGTTTCCTGATCTGGGGCTGGACCTGTCTTGTCTGCTGCCACCCATACTGAGACAAGACAACAGCCTAATCTTCTCACTAGAGCATGTCGGAAAGCCAAATCCTCACCTCATCCTTTTAGTCATCACTAACATGACACACTGCCCTTTGTCATTAGTTCATGCTCAGTGTCTGCAACCATTTTAGCCCAGGCAGCTTGACAGGACCCTAGAGTAGAGGTCCTAGACTTCCTTCCTCAACACTGGTGTCTGCTGTTTTGGCCCCTGCCTCAAGGAGGTGAGGCGTAATCCTAGCATTTTATCAGGTTATCTTAATTGAGCCTCTTAAAACCAAGAACCCCAGTTTGCTTTGCTCCACCTGGTTACTGACATCTTTACACATTTGAGGATGTAGATGTTTGTGTCTGAGTAACATAAAAGTATTTTAAACCTTAGAAATAGAAAGCATTCAATGATGCAATGTTTCATGATGTTATGGCCAAGTCTCAATGGGATGAGCAAATCAAGTAATTCCCTTTCAAAAGGAGTTCAGTTGAGCCTGACTAGTTAAATCCTCTTTGGACTCAAGGTGTCAATGATGCAGTATTTCATGATACGATGGCCAACTCTCAATGGGATGAGCAAATCAAGTAATTCCCTTTCAAAAGGAGTTCAGTTGAGCCTGACCAGTTAAATCCCCTTTGGACTCAAGGTGTCAATGATGCAGTATTTCATGATATGGCCAACTCTCAATGGGATGAGCAAATTAAGTAATTCCCTTTCAAAAAGAGTTCAATTGAGCCTAACTAGTTAAATCCCCTTTGGACTCAAGGTTTAATATGAAGATTACCAAGAGGAGTACAGAGAAGGAAATAGAAACTGATAGTTGTTAATTAACTTTTCAGGTCAACGTATTTTAATCATGAAGTGGCAAGTCCTGGATTTGGAGCCAATTCAGACTGACTTCAAACCCCTAAATCGCCCTGCTAAATATCTATCTCAAAGTGTGAGAGAGAAGCTGACGAGGCAGGGTACCTTTTATTTTGAATGGGATCATTTCTCTATTTTTCTAGAACCATGGAATTTTAAAGTTGTACTAGTAGAAATTGAGAGATCCAGCCATCTTATTTTACAAATGAGGAAACTAGAGCCAAGAAAACTCAGATTTGGATTTTTTTTTTTTTTTAATTTGAAGGAAAACAGTAAAATTGTGATAAATTTTGAGAACGTTGTTTATGGAAAAAGACTTGGGAGAAAGAGGAATAATGAGAAAAACTGCAGGGTAGTAATTCTAACCATGCTGTCCAATCTTCTAGCTCTGTGTCCTTGGGTACACAATTTGTCTTTATTATTAATGCTATCAAGTTATATGAAAACCAAGTATCAACATTAAAGTACAACATCATGATGCAACAATAATGAAAATAGTAATTACAGATATAAAATGAAATCATTTACTATATATTACACGAACATTTTCACAATAATCCTACCAGGTAGGAAATATCATGATCTTTTTATTATTATTATTAAAGGTATTTATAAAGAGATAATGAAGAGGTTTGTTGAGGGTAATACAATTTACAAATTGGGGAAACACAGGGAACATAGGAATCTTCCAAGTGCTAATGATCATGACCATTTTATAGATGAAGAAACTGAGGGACAAAAAGATGAAGTAAACTTACCCAAGGTCTCTCAGTTAGTAAGTGATGGAGCCAGTTCTCAAACAGTTTTATTCTAGAAGCCAAAATAGATCCTGTACTTCTCACCTACTGGAGCTTTGGTATTTGTTGGATCTGTTCAGTCTACTCAGATTCCCTCAGGGTCCTATCCTTGGGAACCATATCAATTTTGTTGAGACCAAGAACCCAGTTTTAACAGATGCCACTTTGGAGTCAGTCTATATGAACAGAGTTCCATAGAACAGAAGTTATTTAAATACAAATAAGTCAGAATAAACTGAGAGATGACCATGTCACCTAAAAAGGAAAGAAGAGCCAACAAGTCTGAAGATACACTCACTTACTGAGAAGAGGTATCATGTGATAAAGGTATCAGAACTTAGAGAGGCTCTGGGCTAAGACAATTTCTTAAAGCTAGAGGTCAGAAGGAAAGGTGTATCATGTAGAGACTGACTGTCATGTGCATGCTAATGGTAGAAGACTTACTCAGTTTATTAATATTAGGCATTAAACTATGCCATGTTTGTAAATACTCAGCTCTGAAGCCATCCATGGAAAACAAAATCACTGGGGGCAGGTCAAACCTGAAAATGAAAGACAGAAATTGGTCTATTACTTTAATTGTGAAAAACAATAAATATGTTTTGTTTTTTGTTCACTACTTGCAATTAGAAAAAAGCCTAGAAAATATAGTAAGAAAACAGTACTGGCAATGGTTTTTGCAGCATTATTCACAATAGTTAAATGATGAAAATGGGGTATATACGTATACAAAATGCATATAGACATAAACAAAATACATATACATACACACATAAACAATATACATATATATACACACAAACATATACATATATACCTATACATATATACATGTACAAAATGTAGAATATACATACAATGGAACATTCTTCAGCCAGAAATATTACTCATGTAAGAAAAATGAAGTTCTGATACAAGTTTCAAAACAGATGAAGCTTGAATGCAATGATTCAAACCTTGAATTGCAGTCCAGCATGTTAACCCTCACAGCCACACCAAGACTCCAGTGAATGCAATTAAAGCCACTGAATTATACACTTGAAAATGAATGAAATGGCAATTTTTTATTATATATAATTTGCCACAATATTTTTTTTTTTTTAATGAATGAGCTAGTTGGGAAGAGATGGTGTATTTTCAGTATGTTTGAGAAAATTTAGTAAAAAATTACAGTATGCCATCTAAGTACATATTATATAACTGTGAAGAGAATCCAGAGAACAAACCTCCTGAGCTTGCCAGAAAAATTGTTCATTATAATTCATTAAGCAAATCTTTGAGTAAGGCATTGTGCTAGATCCTGAAGTATGAAGGAGTTAGCACTCCTATGAGGAAGGAAATGAGAAAGTAAACAGGTGTTCAGGACTAAATTCTAGTGCAGGATGCTATTCCATTAGCTAAGTGAATAACACTCTGTCCAGAGAGTGTGACATGTGAAGGGAGGACAAATAGAAGTCATACTAAAGATAATTAGACTAACGTTCCAACCAAGGAAATACTGGGTATAGATTCATGTGTGATACATACACAAATATTTATGAATCTCAAAACATTGAGTTAAACAGCAGAAGTTAGACACAAAAGAACACATGTTATGATTCCATTTATATGAGATTCTAGAACAGGAATACATGATGATAGAAATTGGAATTTTAGTATCTCTAGGGGTGAGTTCCTGGTGTGGTGCTGTGGGTTAATGCACCAGACTGCAAAGTCATTTGAACTGCAAGGTCAGTGGTTCAAGTTCACCAGCTGCTCCTCGGAAACTCTATACAGGGTTGTTATGGGTCGGAATTGACTCGATGGCACTTAACAACAACAACAAGGATGGGTGGAAGGAGTCCTGGTGTGGTGCTGTGGGTTAATGTGCAGGATTGCTAAATCAGTTTGAACAGCAAGGTTGGCAGTTCAAGCTCACTAGCTGCTCCTCAGAACCCTATACAGATGGCACTTAACAACGACATCAGTAAAGGTGGGCAGATAGTGGTGTGGGTTACACAGATGTATTCATTTCTAAATTTAATCAAACTAAGATGTATCCAACTGTACACTTATAAGCTCAACCTCAAGTATTGAAAAATGGAAAATTATTAACTTTGATCGATGGGAAAGTTATGCAAAATTTAAATTGGCCTGGTACAGTTTGTAATTGGAAACCTATTTAAAAAAAAAAAAAAAATTTAACATTGGAATAATTTTGATGAAAGTATTCATATATGGTATTGTTGTTTTTAAGTGCCGTTGAGTTGGTTCAAACAGACCTTGTAGTCCAGCACATAAACCCACAGCACCACACCAGGACTCCATAATGGATCACCAAAAATAACCTTGCAGCTTAAAGATGGTCAAAACATCTATGAGTTCAAGTGGGAAGCAATGAACCTTGAAAACATTGTGATGAATGAACTAAGTCAGTCACCAAAGGACAAATATTATATGATTCCACTAAGATGACATATCTACAATGTGCAAATAAAGAGAGATCAAAGTTTATTTGTGCTTGGGAGGAAAATGGGACAGGGCTAGAAAGAATCATTTCTCAGAGGACACTAAGTTTCTGTGAAGGGTGATGAAAAATTTAGAAATGGTTAATGCTGATGGTTGTACAACATAAAAAGAGTGGAATCCAAAGTTCCAGTACACTTCTTTCTTAATGGCCTCCCTGACCATCTAAACTACCTACCCCAGTGCTGCGATAGAGCATTTCAAAAGCAAAATGATAAAAACAGAGTCCTGGTGTGGCACTGTAAGATAAGCACTAGACTTAACCACAAGGTCAGCAGTTCAAACCTACCAGTTATTCCTTAGATACCCTGTACAGGGTCACTATGAGTCAGAACTGATTCCATGGCACATAGCAACAAAACAAACTCATCTTTGTAGGTAAAACACCTGAAATTATTTCCTTAAGATACATTTTGTTAAGTTGAAATTTCCTGGTCAAAGGATAAGTATTTTCAAGGGAGATTGATATACTTTGTCATGGTTCTTTTATGAAAATTGAAATTCATTTTTAAAAAATGGAAAATTATTTATGAGTTCAAGTGGGAAACAATGAACCTTGAAAACATTATAATAAATGAAATAATTCAGTCTCCAAAGGACAAATATTATATGATCCCACTAAGATGTCACCTTAATAGAACATATCTTAAGGATATAATTAAAATATTTACTGATGAAGATCAAAGACCATAGCCTTCAGTATGGATTATATCTCGATATAAAGAAAACAAAAATCCTACCACTGGACCAATAAACAACATTCTTATCAATGGAGAAAAGAATGAAGTTGTCAAAGACTTCATTTTTCTTGGATCAACTATCAACACTCACGGAAACCACAGCCAAGAAACCAAATGACGTATTGCATTGGCCAAATCTGATGAGCCTCTCAGGTTGGAAGGCATTGAAAATACGACCGAGCTGCCTCCTCAAAGAAGAGTTAAACGTGATGATGTGAATAGTAAAGCCTTTGGGGCCATCGCTTGCTTATGGAGCAGAACTCAAAATGAACAGAAACAGCTGTAAACATCCATTAATAATCAGAGCATGGAATGTATGAAACATGAATCTAAGAAAATTGGAAATTTTCAAAACTGAAATAGATGCATAAACATTGATATCCTAGACATTAGTGAGCTGAAATGAACTGGTATTGACCATTTTGAATATGACAATCACATGGTTTACTATGCCAGGAATGACAAATGAAGAGGAATGGCACCACAGTCATTATCAAAAAGAAAATATCAAGATCTGTCTTGAAGTACAACACAGCTTGTGATAGGATAATATCCATATGTGTACAAGGTAGACCAGTTAATACCACTATTACTTAAATTTATGTACCAACTATTAGCACCAATGATAATAAAATTGAAGAATTCTACCAACTTCTTCAGTCTGAAATTGATCAAACATTCAATCAAGATGTGTTGGTAATTACTGAGGATTGGAATGCAAAGGTTGGAAACAAAGAGGAAGGGTCAGTAGTTGGAAAATATGGCCTTGGTGATGGAAATAATGCTGGAGATCACATGATAGAACTTTGCAAGACCAATGACTGCTTCATTTCAAGCACCTTTATTAACATAAAAGATGACTATACACACGAACTTTACCAAATGGAATTTACAGAAATCAAATTGACAACATTTATGGAAAGAGACAATAGAAAAACTCCATATCATCAGCCAAAACAAGAACAAGAGAAGACTGTGGAACAGACCATAAATTGCTTATATGCAAATTCAGGCTAAAAATGAAAAAAATTAAAACAAGTTCACATGAGCCAAAATATCACCTTGAACACATTCCCCCAGAATTTAGAGATCATCTGAAGAGCAGATTTGATACATTAGACACTAAAGACCAAAGACCAGAAGAGTTGTGGGATGACATCAAGAACATCATACAGGAAGAAAGCAAAAGGTCATTAAGACAAGAAATAAGGAAAAGACAAAAATGGATGTCAGAAGAAACTCTGAAACTTGCTTTCCAGTGTAGAGAAGCTAAAGCAAATGGAAGAAATGAGGAGGTACAAGAGCTGAATAGAAAAATTTAAAAAGAGCAGCTCAGGAAGACAAGGTTAAATATTAAAACGAAATGTGCAAAGACCTGGAGTTAGAAAACCAAAAGGGAAAAACATGCTCAGCATTTTTCAAGCTGAGAGACCTGAAGAAAAAATTCAAGCCTTGACTTGCAATATCCTATGGGTAAAATGGACTCCTGGTGCGATGCTGTGGATCAGCTCTGGACTATGAACAGCAAGGTTGCTCCTTGAAAACCCTTTACAGGGTTGCTATGAGTCAGAACTGACTCAATGGCACTTAACAACAACAAATAGGCAAAATATTGAGTGATACATAAAACATCAAAAGAACATGGAAGGAATACATAAAGCCACTGTACCAAAAAGAAATGGTCAATATTGAACCATTTCAAGAGGTGACATATGTAGAAGTTTTGTAACAAAAAGAGGGGAGTAGTTAATCTTACAGTCCAGGAACAGAGGGCCCTAGGACTATCAATGGCGAAGAGCATGAGCAGAATGTGGGACTATATCCAGAGAAGCAGCAACACCAGAGATGAAGACAGAGACGAGGGCATGGAGAAATAGAGCAGCTGAAGACCCTAGACTCATGGAAAGAGAAAGGCTGTGTGCTGGCTTCCAGCTGCAGGTGTCAGGAGGCAGTATTTCAGAATGTGCCCTTTGGCTGTTTAAATGATTATATACTCCTATTTTTTTGTACATTCCCCCCCCCAAAAAAAAACAAAAAAACAAAACAAAACCTAGGGGAGAAGAGAAGTAAATACTGTTGAATGATAATGATGCACGGAGGAGATTATAAGATCGTAATCATTGCCGTAAGGTCAGCAGTTCGAAACTACCAGCTGTTCCATGGGAGAAAGATGAGGCACTGGTAAAGATTTACAGCCTCGGAAACCCTGTACAGGGTCTCTATGAGTCAGAATCAACTCCATGGCACATAACCACCACCACCACCAATCATTGCAATGAAATGATAAGTGTAAAAAAGATGTTCCCCATGTAAACTATCACTCAATTGATAATAAATCTTAAATAAATAAATAAAAAGAGCCAATGATAGTGAAGGAAAAAGTCCAAGGTGCATTGAAGGTATTGGCGAAGAACAAGGCACCAGGAATTGATGGAATACTAATTGAAATCTTCCAACAAACTAATGCAGAGCTGGAGGGACTCACTTGTCTATGCCAAGACAGCTACCTAGCCAACTGCCTGGAAGAGAACCATATTTGTGCCCATTCCAAAGAGAAGTGACCTAATGGAATGTGGAAGTCATTGGGCAATATCATTAATATCTCACACAAGGAAAATTCTGGTAAAGATAATACACAAATGGCTGCAACCATACATTGACAGGGAACTGCCAGAGATTCAAGCTGGATTCAGAAGAGATGTGGAACACGGGATATCTTTGCTGACGTCAGATGGATCTTGGCTAAAAGCAAAGAATAACAGAAAGAAGTTGACCTGTTCTTTATAGATAACACAAAGGCTTTCAGTTGTGTGCATCATCACAAGCTACAGAAAATTTTGCAGAGAATGAATATTCCAGAACACTTAATTGTGCTTATGAGAAACCTGTACATAGACCAAGAGGCCTTATACAAAACAAGTAAAGACCAAACAGTTTAAAAGTAGGAAAGGTGTGTGCCAGGTTTGTATTCTTTCACCATATTTATTCAACATGTATGATAAGCACATAATCCGAAAAGCTGGATTATATGAAGAAAACTGTGGCATCAGTATTGGAGGAAGACTCATTCTGCATTTCAGCAACCTTGGTTGCTAAAAGCCAAGAGGACTTAAAATGCATACTGATAAATATCAAAGGTAAGAGCCTTTCATATGGGTTTCACCTCAAATTAAAGAAAACAAAAATCCTCACTACTAGATAAATAAGCAACATCTATATAAATGGAGAAAAGACTGAAGTTGTCAAAGACTTCATTTTTCTTGGATCAACCATCAACACTCATGGAAACAGCAGTCATGAAATGAAATGACATATTGCATTAGGCAAATCTGCTACAAAAGACCTCTTTGAAGTGTTCTGGAGCAAAGATATCAGTTTGAGGACTAAGGTGTGCCTGACCCAAGCCATGATATTTTCAATTACATCATATGCATGTGAAACTTGGACAGTGAATAAGGAAGAACATAGAATAATTGATGCACTTGATTTATAATGTTGGGGGATAATATTAAAAACAGCATGGACTGACAAAAGAATAAATCTGTGTTGGAAGAAGTACAGCCAGAATGCTCCTTGGAAACCAGGATGGCTAGACTTTGTCTCTCATTCTTTGGACATATTATCAGGAGGGACCAGTCACTGGAGAAGGATATAATGTTTGGTAAAGTGGAGGGTCAGAGAAAAAGAGGAAGACCCCCAGTGAGATATATTGGCACAGCAGTAGCAGCAATGGGCTCAAACGTAGCAAGAATTGTAAGGTTGACACAGGACCAGGCATTGTTTCTTTCCGCTGTACATAGGGTCACTGTGAGCAGGTACCGACTCGATGGTACCTAACAACAACATAGGGTTGCTGGTGTCTTGGTATAACACTGTAGGATGAGCACTGAGCTGCTAACTGCAAGGTCAGTTGTTCAAACCCACCAGCTACTCCTCGGAAATCCTATACATGGTTACTATGAGTAGGAATGGACTCCAGAGCACTTAACTACAGCAGTATGGTGACTACAAGTTTGAACTTTACTTGACAGTTGTTGTTGTTGTTGTTGAGTGCCATCGAGTCGGGTCCGACCCATAGCGACCCTGTACAGGGTTTCCGAGGGTAGTGGGGTGTTTTTTGTTTTTTTGTTTTGTTTTGTTTTTAAGCACAGATGGCTACTAATTTAAGTGAGTTATATTGTATTATCATGACAAAAGAATATATTTTCTTTTCATTTTTTGACTAACTGCTAATATGACTAAACACATCATCAATATTGTTTTATTATGCATGATGTAGCTTGTATTAAGGCTCACCACATGCCAGAAATGATTTCATTTTCCCATTAGCAAGAAATCTAAGGACAACATGTAAGCCAGATACTAATATCATGTTCAGTGTATAAAGAGACAGATATAGATCAGGTGGCTGACCCAAAGTGGTCCACTGCCAATAGGATGAGAGCTAAGCTCTCAGTCTTCATTTGCTTGATTTAAGAGCCTACCCTCCTTCTTATACTGCACTCACTAGCAAAATAGAAATACAAAGAAACTATTAACAGAAATACTAGCTTAAATGTATAAGAAGAGGGCTTCCCTTAATGGAATGTCTCCAGCCGCTAAAATTATATTGTTGGTGAGTATTGTTAATAGTGACCAGAACTATCATTGTATGTTGTATCTGTAAGTATAGAGCCAAGTCCAGAGAGCAGCCATAATAAACATGTGGAAGAGGTGTATGTGGTGAGGTGTGTTACCTCCCCACATCTCTTAAGCTCACCACCTGGGCCCACTTGACAAAGTCCTACTCACTCATTCTTTAAGGTCCACTTTTCATTGTGAGACCTTCCAGGGACAAACTTATTTCCTTCTCTTTAGAAAGAATAAATTTGAGGCACAGGATATTAATAGAAAAGAATTTTGGCAAAAGTAACTTCTATCTAAATCCCAGTCCTGACTGTAGAAGTTTAGGAATGTTAGTATTTAAACTTCAAGCAAATTTTAAATCCTTATTGTCATATATTGTAATGTAATATGTTGCATTAATATAATAAATCGATATACAAGTGCTCTGAAAACAATTAAGCAAAGTCTGATTCTACCTCTCCAAGAAATCTAACCTACTGTTAGCTTAAAAATGCAAATAGATTTGAGGAAATTCTGCCTTTCAAACCATATTTTCATGTGTCAGCTGTTAAAGGAGGATAAAAATCCCCATGTCAGCCTCACCCTTCTGGACACTGAGGCTGTTGGGCTGTGCTACATTCTTCTTTCACCCATGATGTTTCTCCTGGAAAGCAGAAGATAAAAATTCTTTAGATGACTACACTAAAGATAGAGAAAATGAAACAAATGTTCAATGGATATGACCCCAAACCACTTAGTTTATTTTACTCCATTAACAAAATTCTTCTAGTACACATTCAGTGTTCTTGCACATGAACATTACATGACAGAGAAAATGGTATTAACTCTAGGATTTGCTTTAAAATAATGCAAAATTGGAGGGGAGCTAGAGCTGAGTGCCTTTGGGTTGAGGCTTATAGCAGAGTGGAGTGCCCTTTGGGCATTTATCAGCAGCTCTAAAAGAGGTCAAGGGGCCTATGACTGAAAGGCCAAGGACCAGAAAGGGACACTTCTGCGGGCATGGCTGAGAAGAGCCTGTCCTAACTAGAAGAATAGTGCCCCAAGCATTTCAGATCCTAAATTGTAACCTGCTAGCTTCCCTAATCAATCCCATAATCTGAATACTGTCTCGGAGTTCTGTGTGGCCATTTCAATGAATGATAGAACTCAAATAAGTAATAGAAAGTGCTGTGGAAGGGATGATTGGTGTCCGAATTGGCAAGGAAGTTGAAGGGTGGAGGCATGTCTGATCTCAGCCTCACATGAATCAGCCTTGGACTGATTTGATTCTCCTTTTATCTCTTGTGAGATTACAGGAAGTCAAGCATTACCACCCCATCCCACCCTCCTTTTTTAAAAAAAATTTCATTTTAATGTACAACTGGGAATTATCTATCATACAGATAATCTAATCACTTAGATAATTTAACAACCTAACTATCAAGTATCGAATCTTTAAAGAGAGAACATATTTACATTTATTCAAAAAATAAACAAATGGCTAAATTAATTCTATTAAAATACACAGTTAGTATTAATGGTAAACTTCAATACAGTTACTTTTCTTTTACTACCAAATTGAAGCAGCATAGTGTATGAATTCAGTGGGAAAATTTATCACATGAGAATCAGTGTTGAGGTGAAAAGTTAAGAGTAATAAAATTGGAGCTGGAGGTGGGGAAATACAGAAGTAGAGGGCAGTATGATCAATGAAACCGCACCATAATTACTGGATTAGAAAAGATCTTGCTTTACAGACAAATAAGGAGCTTTAAGCTTTATCTTTTCTCTCTGATATTTCTGCTATAAGTTCTCTTCCTTTAATACACAAACCACATTTATTTTCACTGAAAACACAGTTCATCTTTTGTTCCAGATGGAGTAGTTTGAGATTCTCTAATTGGTTTAATTTCTACAGCCTAATCCAGCTCTAGGGTTGCTAAACTCACTGGCAAATGTGTTGTCAACATCCTTCTGCTTACCTTGGCAAACACTCTTATAATCAGTGCAGCAGTCTTTCCTCTGCAAGCAGTCATCTGAGCAAGAGCAAAGGCTAGATTCTAACCTGGTTTCCCCACACCGAAATTTATTACAGGTCCATATTTGAGCTGTAAAATTGCACAATGAAGATTTGAGCATTTAATTCATGCTAAGTATTCAATACAAAAAAATAGAAATGTTATGCATTTCCCTTCCATTATTGTCATACTGTCAAATACTTGGCTTATCTCCATTAGTAAAAAAAAAATATGCAAAATGAAGAACAATCTACCACTTTTTTCACTAGCATGGCTAGCACAAAGAAATGCAACTCTGTTAACTGCAGCTCTAGTCTACCGGTCTTATTCCTACCCAAGGGTAAAGTGTTCCCAATGGTGAGGAATCACTAGCCCTGACCGATTCTTGGCATCCATTAGCCACTGTAGGAACCCTGATCTAAGAACAGGTCACAAGGAAGAGACAGGAACAAGAAAAGTAACCGCTGCACAATCAGGTCTGCAAGAATGTTGGCAGTACCTCCCGGGTGACAGTGACAGATGGCTTGGTCAGCTCACAGCCGCACCTCTGAGCTGCTCTCAGGGTATAGCCTGGGTAGGAGATTTATTTAACAAATCTTCCTACTGCTGCCACCAGCTAAAATCAGCATGGCCCTTGTGCTTAGACCAAATGTTAGTAGGCGACTGCTGTATGCTGCAATTACATTTACAGTTCTGGATCCCACATCAATTATTTACCACTTAGGAAAGCAGGATTTCTGAAAATGGAGCAAAGAGAATACAAATCTAGGTTGTTAAGTGTTGTGGAGTCAGTCAGACTTCTAGTGATACTGTATAGGTTGTAAGGTTTCTGAGACTTTTTTTTTTTTAATTTTTACTGTAGCAGAAAAGCTCATCTTTCTCCTGTGAAGTGGCTGGTATGTTCAAACCACGGACCTTGTGGTTCGCAGTCTAGTGCTTATCATAAGGAGCCACCGCACTCGGCCCTTTTCAGAAAACATAATATCAGTCATTGTACTTTTCTAATCTTCACTCTCCTCCAACCCCCCTTACCTTACTTCCTAGGGAATGAAACATTGCAAACTATCTCTTCCACCTAGAGAACTGTGTTCCTCAACACAGAACACTATCATCAGAATCACTGAGAACAACCTATTTTACAGGTGAGTCTTACACACTCTGAAGTGAGTCTTACACACTCTGAAGTGAGTCTTACACACTCTGAAGTTTCAGAAGCTCTGAAAATGAAACTAGATAAGATGTTTAACTTTAAGCCATAGCAAACACTCTTAAAATATATGTAGTCAAATAGCATTCCATATGCTGTGGACAGTTATCCCTCAACTTCAACGAAATAAAGTGAGAACTCTGTGTTTAGCACTGTGACCAGGGCAAAGTTAATAGATTGTATCTGTAAGATGTCTAGGGGAACATTTGGATATGCATTAGGACAGCACAAATAACATGCTTATTCTTATAAATCATACTTGGTTCCACACAGGTGTTTTCAAAATCCCAACAACAGTCGCCTCGGTCTTTACATCCCACATCACACCTGCAGCCCTCCAGGCCTCTAAACGATGAATCAAAGCATTTCCTCCTGCAACTGCCTGTAAAGTGAAGAAAATAAGGACAACAAAGCTTAGAAGTTATCTAATCCCTTATTTAAGCATGCAGAAATACATTTTAGATGGTAGAAGCACACAGAAATGTTTAATGCAGACCAGGTGAGACAAATCAATGGTTTTTGTGGTGCTTGTGTGACTTGTCAGTGCAATATAATAAACAAGACACTGTTGTGTGCAAGGATACATGGGAATGCATGGGGGTGGGTTGGGACCTAAACCAGCAATGTGGTATGGAGGACACCCTGGAGTCACAGGAGAGACATCAAGATTTTAAAAAGTCAGTGAAACTAAGAAACACAAATCCGGAGGTGTGCAGATGAGTCATGATGGCTAAGGAGCAGACTTGTATGTTGTTAAATGTTGTCAAGTCAGTTCTGACTCATAGGACCCTGTATAGGGTTTCCCAGGAGCAACTGGTGGATTTGAATACCCATCTTATAGTTAGCAGTCCAGTGCTTAATTATACAGTGACACACTAGGTAGATTAAGGAGCAGAAAGGTGTCTTTGCCCTACTTGAAGCCTAATGTCTGGTAATGGGAAACTGTCAAAGAGTAGGCAGATCAGAAGTAATTAGATTTGTGATTTAGGAATCCTCTCTGGAAAATGGAATCATGGTGTGGCACTGTGGGATCAGCACTGGACCTCTAACCACAAGGTAGTTGGTTCAAACCCACCAACTGCTCCTCAGAAACTCTACACAGGGTCGCTATGAGTCAAACCAAGTTGACAACATTTAACAAAAACAACTCTGGAAAATAGGCAGAGCGGCCCAAGGGAGATGGAAACTCTTGGACCAAGCAGATTTTAACCCAAATCTCCTATGGTAAGGGCCTAAAGAATGGCAGTGGTGGCGGTGGTGGTATGCAGTCAAGTTGGTTCTGACTCATAGTGACTTTGAATAGGGTTTCTGGGGCTATAAATCTTTATAAGAGCAGAAGGCCTCATCTTTCTCCCATGGAGTGGCTTGTAGATTCAAACTGCTGATATAATTAAGACTATTAATTAGTGTGAGAAAGACATGAATTCTGTCAGCAGTGTTCTTGGAAGATGGTCCCCAAATCCCAGAAAAGCACTGGAAGGCTGACTAACACCTTGGTTTTAGCTAAACACTGAACAAAGAATCGAGCTACTCTGTCCCATACTTTTCATCAACCAAAATTGTAGAATAATGTAGCTGTGTTGTTTAAAGCTACTACATTTGCAGTAATTTGAAATACAACACAACAATAGAAAATTAATATAAGAGCTTAGAAGATAAATGTGGCAAAGCAAAACAAAGAGATGGGAAATATCAGAGTACAGATTTAGATGTTTAAAGATTAATCCATATCATTAGCAATTGGTAAAACCTAAAGATGAAAACAGAGGCATGGAGATAATATTGTTAAAGAAAAACAATTATAAAAATTTCCAGAAAGGAGGAATATAAATTATTATATCAAAATTACCCACCAAGTTTGCTAAGGCCAACTTGACAGCACTTAACAAAAACAACAACTCTGGAAAATAGGTGGAGAGGCACAAGTAATCAACAGAAATAAATCCACTGCCAATCCCAACTCATAGCTACCCTATAGATAGAGCAGAATCACTCCTTAGCAGTTCTGAGACAAGATCTCTACAGGAGCAGACAGCCTCATCTTTCTCTCTCAGAAAGGCTGATGAGTTTGAACCGTAGGGTTAACAGCCCAACACTTAGCTCACAGCCACCAGGGTTCTTTGTTGTTGTTGTTAGATGCCATTGAGTCGGTACCAACTCATAGCAACCTTATGCACAGCAGAATAAAACACTGCCCAATCCTCAGCCAACCTCACTACTGTTGTCAGCGTTCTTTAATAAAAAGATCTTAGCATCTTCAAGAAAGAGACCAGAAGCAAGCTATAAAGGATCCAGAATCAGAATGGCCACACCACTCTCAAAAGTAACAATGGAATCTAGAAGACAGGAAGTGGTGTCTTCAAATTCCTAGAGGAAGATTGTTTTCATTCTAGAATTCAATGCATAGCCGAACTATCAACTGTGAGTTTAGGATGATAAAGATGTCTTCAGATAAAATAAACCTATGCCAATGAGACAACTCTGACTCATAGTGATCCTCTGTAGGGTTTCTGAAAGCAGACAACCTCATCTTTCTCTCCAGGAGTAGCTGGTCAGTTTGAGGTTAGCAGCCCAAAGTCTAACCCACAGCGCCACCAGGGCAAAATGGAGAAAAAACAAACCTACTTCCACTGAGTCAATTCCAACTCAGAAACTCTATAGGGCAGACTAGAACTGTTCCTTAGGGTTTCTGAATGGGAGCAGATAGGCTCATCTTTCTCCCATGAATCAGCAGGTGGTTTTGAATCCCCGACCTTATGGCCAGAAGCCCAATACTTAACACAGCATGTAACCAGGGCTCCTTCGGATTAATTGGAGTAGAGAATGATGATAAAGGTCCAGAGGATGGGGGTTAGGAAAGCCAAGATGGTGGAAGGATGGGGGAAAGGATATGCTAAGAATCCTGCCAAAAGAGGGTCTGGAATTCTCTACTAAGGTCCTGATGGGAAAGGAAATGAGTGATACACTGTATGGGTCTGAGAGACTGATATTAAAAGGTAAGAAAGACAACCAATAATTCTGGGAAGCCAGGCAGCAGGTGTACTACAGTAAGGAAGAGATGGAAAGCCAGAATAACAGAATGCTTTGTTCAGAAATGCAGTAGATAATGCTAACCACAGATCTGGGTCTCTGATAAGTCAATGTGGGAGAAGAAAGGGTGTAGAAAGAGAGAACTACCTGAAGCAGAAAGAAAACTTTGGGCTGAAAGCTAGGTTTGAACTGGTTAAGGCCAAGAAAAAGAATAAATAAGGGAATGTTCTGAGAAAGGGATATACCTTGTGTCTCTGGTTTCCTGAGTCCAAGTCCCAGGCCTAATCCAAGCGATACAATCACCAACAAAGCAAGAAGAACCTGTTAAAAGAAAAAAGAAAAAGAAAGATGACTTTCACAGTTTTTTGAGTTTTTTTTTTTTTTTGTCATAATACACTGTGTTTTGTTGTTTTTGCTGTTGTTGTTAGGTACCATTGAGTCAGTACTGACCCATAGGGACCTTATGCACAGCAGAACGAAACACTGCCCCATCCTGGCCAACCTCACTACTGTTGCCATGCTTGAGTACATTGATGCTGCCACTTGGTCAATCCACTTCGTTGAGGGTCTTCCCCTTTTTTTCTCTGACCCTCCACATTACCAAACATGATATCCTTCTTCAGCAACTGTTCCCTCCTGACAATATGTCTGAAGTATGAGAGATGAAGTTTGGCCATCTTGGTCTCTAAGGAGCACTCTGGCTGTACTTCTTCCAAAACAGATTTATTGGTCCTTTTGGAAGCCCATGGCACTTTTAATATTCTTCTCTAACACCATAACTCAAAGGCATCAATTCTTCTATGAGCTTCCTTATTCACTGTTCAGCTTTTGCATGCATATGAGGTTACTGAAAACACCATGACTTGGGTCAGGCGCACCTTAGTCCTCAAGTTGATATCTTTGCTCGTCAACACTTTAAAAAGGTCTTGTGCAGCAGATTTGCCTAATGCAATACGTCGTTTGATCTCTTGACTGCTGTTTCAATGAGTGTTGATAGTTGATCCAAGAATGAAGTCCTTGACAACTTCAATCTTTTCTCTGTTGATAAGAATGTTGTTTATTGGTCCAGTGGTGAGGATTTTTGTTTTCTTGACATTGAGATGTAATCCATTCCAAAGGCTGTGCTCTTTGATCTTCATTAGTAAATATTTTAAGCCCTCTTCACTTTCAGCAAGCAAGGTTGTATCATCTACATATTGCAGGTTGTTAATGAGTCTTCCTCCAATCTTGATGCCACATTTTTCTTCATATAAGCCAGCTTCTCGGATGATTTGCTCAGCATACAGGTTGAATGTTTGGTGAAAGAATACAACCTTGTGGTACACCTTTTTAAATTTTAAAACATTCAGTGTTCCCATGTTCTGTTCGAACAACTGCCTCTTGGCCCAGGTACAGATTCATCATGAGCACAACTAAGTGTTCTGGAATACTCATACTTCACAATGTTGTCCATAGCTTGTCATGATCCACACAATCGAAAGCCTTTGCGTAGTAAATAAAGCACAGGTAAACATCTTCTGACATTCTCTGCTTTCAACCAAGATCCATTGGACATCAGCAATGCTATCCCTTATTCCACAGCCTTTTCTGAATTCGGCTTGAACCTCTGGAAGTTTTCTGTCAGTGTATGATTGTAGCCGTTTCTGTATTACCTTTAGCAAAACTTTACTTGCATGGGAAATCAATGAGATTGTCTGATGATATCCACATTCCGTTGGGTCACCTCTCTTTAGAATGGGCATAAATATGGATCTCTTCCAATCAGTCAGCCAGATAGTTGTCTTGGCATAGATAATGAGTGCCTCCTGTGCCGCCTCACTTTCTTGAAAGATTTCAACTTTTATTCCATCAATTCTTGGTGCCTTGTTCTTTGCCAATTCCTTCAATGCACCTTGAACTTGTTCCTTAAGTATTACTGGCTCTTGATCATATGCTACCTCTTGAAACAGTTGAGTCATCAAGTCCAATGATAACCGTTGTCTTTTTGTATAGTGACTCTGTGTATTCCTTTCATCTTCTCTTGATGCTTTCTGCATTGTTGTTAAGTGCCATCAAGTCTGTTTCAACTTATAGTAACCCTGTATAGGGTTTCCAAAGAATGACTGGTAGGTTTGAGTCACCAACCTTGTGGTTAGCAGTCCAGTGCTTATCGAACAGCACCACACAGATATACAAATTACCATATCAGTAAATATGAGTGTGGTGGCTCTGTAGGATAAACATTGAACTGCTAACCATAAGGTTGATAGTTTGATCCCACCAGCCGCTCCACAAGAGAAAGATGAGGCTTTTTGCTGCCTCAAAGATGTACAGCCTCAGAAATCCTATACAGCTGTTATGAGTCAGACCGACTTGACAGCATAGAGCCACCCAAACCATACTAGTTATTCAGGACACAAGATCCAACAATGATAGTGGTGCTTTATTTCATTTAATACCTACAAATAAGAAAAGGAGTTTTCAAAGATTTATAAATATTATTTTTTAAAGATTTTCAAATAAAGATGCCTTAATCCCAGCGAGCTTCATGCCAAATTGAGGAAAACCTCCAGTGAGATGGATTGGCATAGTAGCAGCAGCAATGGGCTCAAGCGTAACAATAATTGTGAGGATGGCACAGGACCGGACAGCATTTTGTCTGTTATGTATAGAGTCAGTAGGACTCGGAGCTGACTTGACAGCACCTAGCGACAAGAACAATAAAACTACCGAAACATGAACAATAAAACTACCGAAACATTTACCTTTGCCCATTTGTCTTTCTTAATTAGGTACCTGTTTGGAGATCACTTATCAAAAAGCATTCTGGAATTGTGAAATCATTAACTACTTCACTCCTAGGGAGCAGTTTGCTCTCACTCTGTCTATCCAAGATAAGGAACATATTTAACATATGTAAGAATACAGTATCCAAATAGCTGACAAGTAATCTGCTCTGGTCTATAACACTAATATACAATTCAAGGTAATTTGGAAACTGCCAAAGATTGCATGTTTCACTCATTATCACTACTGCTGACCACATTCTTTGGTGTATTGGACTTTATGTTATGATTATACTAAACTATGATATAATGAAAGAGAGTTTGTCTTACTGCCCTCTTTCCCTAGTCATCAAGTCCAATGATAAGCCTGCTGAATGCTAGGGCTTAGTAATGTATACTGGCATTAAGAAAGCAAATGGAACAGACACATGCAATCAAACTACTTAGGAACGCTTTTTACAATGACATGTTTTATAGTTTAAAAACTACGAATATTTTCCTTATAAGAAAGAAAAGCATAAAACCATAACATCAATATTTGTATAAATAATAAAATATTGATTTGTTTGATTTTCATTCTGAAAATCAACTGAAGAATGAACACATCTAACTTTTGCAATAGAAATTAATCATCTGATTAATAATGTTAAATTCTTAATGGACCTTTAGTCATTGTGAAAATATGTTAAAATACTAGGAAGCTAACTTTTACATGAGGAGTCCTGGTGTGGTGCTGCAGGTTAATAAGCTGCACTGCAAAGTCAATTTGAACCATGAGGTTAGCAGTTCAAGCTCACCAAGCGCTCCTTGGAAACTCTGTACAGGGTTGCTGTGGGTCGGAACCAACTCGACGGCACTTAACAGCAACAACAACAATTTTTATATGAAATCTCAAAGCTAACTCAAGCGTTAGCAGCTTTCCAAGTTTTACTTATTCAATGGTAATTATGGAGCAGGGAAGGCAAATAGAAACATAATAAAAGACAAAAATAAGTGAAGCGCAGTTAACCTCTTGTAACGGGGCTCAGAAGCCACAGATAAGAGACCAGGATTAATACAAAGCAACACAAGTGGAAACATTTCCTTTTAGCAAACTTTTTGCCTTATGGATTGACAAATTGGTATATTTCTATTTACATCTTATTTTTGGCCTTTTGCCATTCAAACTTGTTGGAAAATTAACATCTAGTTGTCCCTAGGATGCTTTACAACTTTGTAATATTAATCTGTATATGTTTCTTCCTTTTCATTTGTTCCATACATTTAGAACCTGTTCTCTGCATCATTCTTTAGCCTCCTGAAGGGTGGTCAAAGTTTCATTGTTTTTACCCTTTATAATTACTAAAAGAGTCCTGGTGGTTTAGATGTTGGGCTATTAATCACACAAGGTTGGAGGTTCAAACCCACCAAATGCATCACAGGAGAAAGATGTGACTATTTATTTCCATAAGGGTTTACAGTCTCAAAAACCTTAAAAACCTAATATGAGTCATTATGAGTTGAAATTGACTCAGTGGCAGTGGGTTTGTGTTTTTTTGTGTTGTTGTGTTTACACACACACACACACACATATATATATAAAAAGAGAGAGAGAAAGAGAATCTTGGTGTGTTGTAGTGCTATAGGATAAGCACTGGACTGCAAAGTCGTTTGAACCACAAGATCATTTGAATCACAAGGTCAGCAGTTCAAACTCACCAGTCACTCCTTGGAGACTATGTATATATATATATATATATATTTTTTTTTTTTTCTGATATGGCAATATAGAATCAACACCAGACTGTAAACTATAAGGTCCTTGGAAACCCAATACACGGCTGGCCCCAATCCATAGTGATCCTGTATAGAGTTCCCAATATTATAAATCTTTGCAGGAGCACAAAACTTCATCTTTCTTCAGAACGGCTGGTGGCCTTGAACTACTGACCTTGTAATTCGCAGTCCATTGTTTATCCTACTGAGCCACCACTCTACTCTCTCTCTCTCTCTCTCTCTCTCCGCGGGAGAAAGATGAGGCTTTCTACTCCCGTAAAGATTTACACCCTCGGAAACCCTGTACAGGGTCGCTATGGGTCGGAAACGACTTGACGGCACTTAACAACAACAAATATATGTTGTTTTTGTTGTTAATTGCCTTCGAGTCAGTTCCTACTCATAGCGACCCTGTATAGTATAGGGTTTACAAGGAGTGACTGGTGAGTCTGAACAACAGTTCAGAGCTTATCCTACAGTGCTACACTGTTGTTGTTGTTGTTGTTGAGTGCCATCCAGTCGATTCCGACCCATAGCGACCCTGTATAGGGTTTCTGGGGAGCAGCTGGTGAGCTTGAACCGCCGACCTTGCGGTTCAAACGGCTTTGCAGTCTGGCGCATTAATCCACAGCGCCACACCAAGACTCCAGTGCTCCACTAAGACTCTATATATACCTATATAATTGCTGTTATTGTTATGTGCCCTTGGGTTGGTTCCAACCCATAGTGACCCTGTATAGGGTTTCTGAGAAGCGACTGGTTAGCTTTAACCGCGACCCTGAGGTTTGACCTGATATTGCT